AAACATTATAATATTGTCTTCTTCTGCTACTTTTTCTGAGACTCCAAAAATATACATTTTACTCGTATGCATACATGCACATTGAGTAAAATTGATATAGACAATTTATGTAAAATCTGTAAAGTGTTTTTCTTAATAATGTCTATTACTTATATTAAATTAACTACTAAAACTATCTGAAATATTGGAGTCTACATTCGGCAATGGAAATACAGCTAGTATCGAAGAAGACACCGATTCATGCTGCAATGCACATGTAAGCTTAGTTTATAAGCTTAGCTTATTATGCACATGTGAATATATACATACTTTAATTACAATTATTAGATATTAAAGTAGAGATATCAATGTTTATATGCATTGTGTGTCTGTGTGTATACATGTGCTGCTTCCTAGTGTGATTTGCAACATAACAGTGCGAAATACCCACTATTCTAGGAATATTTTTTGTGGTGGCAGGCCTATTTTTTTCGGCGACAAGAAAAGAGAGAGTCGGGAGATTTTAGAATGAGACAACGCAAAACTAAGCACACCATGTATACTTCCACCATGGTCGGAACTCCTGATTTTTTACTGCACTCATGGTATAAAGACAAGGGCACAGTACATATAGTAGAGCAACTCTCTGTCGGCACCTTTAATGTAAGTCTTCTTCTTCTTGTAAATTCTTGTTGGCCATGTAGCCGCTCCAACGGCAATCAACCAGGCCAGCACGGCAGGGATACCACCAACCTTCCACTAGTTAGTCTGTAACAAAGGAAGGGGGGGAATCGAACGGGCGGGGGAGCCCCCACCCTTCAGACGGGACCACAAAGGCCGCGCCCGCGGGGAGAGCCCCCCAGACCACACCCCCAAACCCCCCAGTCCACGCCCAGAAAGAGCGCGCGAGCATATGAAGGGTTATAATCTAACGTCCAAAGACTTAAAGAAGGCCAGTAATCTTCTACATAAACCAACCGAGGGCTTATTAAGGAGAGGAAAAATGTTATTAGGAGTAGAAGTAGGGTATTTTTCAAGCAAAAACTTAAGAAGATATTCAGCTTTATTACGTGATTCTGGACATTCATAAATCACATGATTGACATCTTGACTCTCATGGCCACAATGGCACGCCGCCGAGGCAGTCATGCCCTTACGATAGAGGCTCTCATTAAGATTATAATGATTACTGCGTATTCTGTTTATTAACACGATTTCCTCACGCTCCAAGGATTTAGAGTAGAACCACGGGCTAGGAGAAGAATTCTGGTATAACTCAGCATGCTTAGTGCCTTTAAGCTGGGCGGCATTCTTCAGCCATCCCTCAAAAGTCCTCTTGACACTATCCCTAGCTGACTTCCTAGCGTCAGTAAAGGGGACAGGAAACTCCGTCACCGGATCCGCACTCGCCGCCGCAGAGTTCGCCAAACGGTCCACAATCTCATTACCGCAAATTCCCTTGTGCGAGGGGACCCAAAACAGGGTAATCAATTTACGTTCTCTGGCCAACATCGTCAGCAGATTTTTAATTTGGTAAACAATGTAATTCGGTTGCGAGTAGTGACCAGACGAAATTGCTGCAAGGACGCTTTGAGAATCCGTGAAGATGACCGCAGAGTTTTTCCCTCGGCGTGAAACGTACACAAGAGCCTCCCTAATGGCCCAAGCTTCTGCAGAGAAAACAGAAAAGGCTTCAGGCAACTTACAAGCAGTTCTGAAGTCCTCTTCAGGAGAGTATACTGCGGCTCCAACAGATCCATTTTCGCCGATTTTAGATCCGTCCGTGTAAAGCGAAACTTCTGAATTCGCAATGAGCTCTTCTGCATGTTGTTTAAACCTCAGTGCAATGAGCTCCGGTGGAGAGTCCTTGTCGACTGAAGACATGTCGAACTTGCAAAGAGGCTCATGTATAAAGGTTTCGTAGTCATAAGTAAACTCTGGGGAAGAAACTGAATGAAAAACTTTTTGGAGATCCTCGTGGTGTATCGCGTAGCGATTATATGTGGGGGAGGACTTAAGTGCCTTAATCCTCTTAACAACTGAATCAGCTGTACAATCCATATTCTTAATACCCTCCTTGACCAAGTTGTAAGTACCCGACCAGCATTTGTAAAGAAAAGATGCAGTGAGAAGGTTGAATCTTTGCTTAAGAGGGCATTCCTTAGCCTCATAAAGAAGTACATTTATCGGCGTGGAGATCCTGTAACCCATGGCCAGCCTGATAATCTTATACTGGATTCTCTCCAATTTTAAAAAGAGGGTCGACTGGTTCTCGTAAGCGAAAACTTGCGCTCCGTATTCAATGGCGCTCCTAAAAAGAGCGCGATATAGTGTTAATAACACGCGAGGATGTGATCCCCACCATACTCCCGAAAGGGAAGAAATAATTTTGGCGGTGGCATTGCCTCTGGAAGTCAAAGCCATTAGCTGTTCCTTACCCGTCAAGCCGCTATCCAGAATAACACCAAGGAATTTAACCGAGTGAGCAGTCGCGATGCACTGACCGTTGATGGTAAGTATAAAGTCCTTATTCCTAAGAGATCTTTTGTTCGTGAAGACAACTCCCGTTGATTTGGAAGGCGACAGCTCCAGGCCTCTATTCCACAAATAGCTATTAACAGCGTCCAGCGATGGTTGGAGATAACTCAAAGCCTCAGCAAGAGTCTTGGCTGATGCATATAGCACCAAGTCATCTGCGTATTGTAAAATGAAGCAACCCTCCGTCAAATTCTCATTAATGCCTCTTAAATATATATCAAACAGTAAGGGGCTAAGGGTGGAGCCCTGAGGAGTGCCGGTACGCGTAAAACGGGGGCCGACCAATTCACCGTCGACCACAAAGTAAAGCTCTCTCTCCGAGATAAGGTGCGCAATAAATTGTCTTAGAGTAGGGGGTACATCTATTTCCCGTAAGTCGTTTACCAAGATGGCAGGTATGACATTATCGAAGGCTCCTTTAATATCCAGAAATGCCGCAACCGTGAGTTCACCACGAGAAAAGGCGGTTCTTATGTGATTGGTAAGCACCACCAAATTATCAGCGCAGGAGCGATGCGGCCTGAATCCCATCTGCGTGTTTGGCAAAATTGGCCTTGATTCAACGTGATGTTTAAGCCTGCGGAGGATCATCCTCTCCAAAAGCTTCAGCATACATGACATCAGGGCAATAGGGCGGAAACCTCTATTACCGGCCTTAGGTACCGGAATTATAAGAGATTTCCTCCACGAGGGGGGGAAATCTCCGTCCTCTAACAAATCGTTAAAAATTTCTAAAAGGTGTTCCAAATATGCGTTGGGCAAAGAGGCAATAATATTGTTGTCAATCCGGTCTAAACCAGGTGCTGAATTCAGGCGCAAGCCCGAAAGGGCGAGGTTCATCTCATGCATGCTGAAGCGATCCGCCAGATCAGGCACAGAAGAAGAGGGAGGACAGGAGGAAACCTCAGGATCTCCCGGAGTTATCCCCGCACAAGGGTCCATAACAGACTGAGGACCGATGACAACCTCCTGCAAACACGAGTCCGGCGTGAGTCTATTAATGAGGCTCTCAACCTCTTTGCGCATGGTCGTCGCGCCGACCGCCCTGGCACCTCCACAAGCATCACGCCTCTTGAAAGATTTCATTAACGACCATACCTGGGGGGTAGGTGTTTTCCCATTGAATGATGGATGTCTTAATCCTAAAATTCAGCCAATAGAGTTCAAATTTCGGTTAGAACTGGCAGCTTTATTGGTTGAATTTTAGGATCTTGGGATTAAAACCTGAAGCATAAACCAGGTATTTCATGCATAAATGTATCTTGAAAACTCGAGTTTGAGCTTGAGACTGCCTTAACAAAGCTCATGCTTAAGTACTCGGCTTCGTCAGGCTTTGTTAAGGCAGTCTTAAGTTTAAACTCGAGTTCTCCAACATCGGAAACATTCGGGATTCTCTAGAATCTGTCCAATAACAATTTATTTACAAGTATGATACGTAACGTGCGGAATTATATCGGATTTGGAAAAGCAAGTATTCTTTGATATTCTAAAAGACTATAAACATGTGATTGAATCAAAAGGTACAAATTCCTCTACATTGAAAGAAAAAGCAGAGGCTTGGTTCACTATTACGAAGATATACAATGATTCTTCTTTAATTTGTACTAAAGTATTAAAAATTTATTTTCCTATTTTTACACTATATATGATTATACATATATATATTTTTAATAAGCAAATTTTTATAGTACAGAGGGATGTACAGCAGTTAAAAAAGTATTGGTCTAATTTAAAACAGCAAACTAAGAATATATTAACAACTGAAAGGCAATCAAGATTTCTCACTGGAGGAGGATCAGAAAAAAATGTAGACGAAGTTGATCCAACCATTATAGATATTGTTCTATAATGTGCGCTTATCTAAATTATATAATAAATAATTAATATCTTAATTGTAAATATTATAGATTTAAAAGTTATATTATATAAGTATATTGTATATGTTTATAATACACGTTATATATAATAACTTGAAACTACATATGATCAAGTGTAAAAATATATAAATCAAATGCAGACAGAGTCTCAATAAGAAATATGTTCGGACAAAGTATTGAACTATACTAAAAATTGTTTATTGTTTGAATGTGAGGTATTTTTAGGTTAGTTCACCCAATGACAGATATACAAATATTTGTAGTAATTCTACCATAACTATATGCTTTTCCGTTTCCTTTTCTCTAAAAATATGAAAAAATAAATAGAAGAATATTAATACACACACAAATAAAAACTAAATACTATACTTTTTATTTCAAGACCGTCTTAAGTCCATGATTTACTGGACTCGACAAAGACTAGCTCAAGATCGGGCTTAAGCAATGACTATGCATCTAATAATCTTGAGTCGCACTTAAGATTTCACTATGGAATGAGATTTTCTTAGTTAAGCATGGTCCCAAGTTTTAGGGCGGAATCCATAGACGTTGCTTAAGATCTATCTTGAGATAGTCTTCGTCAAGATCGACTTATGCCTGGTTTATGCTTCAGGTCTTAATCCCAAGATCCTAAAATTCAACCAATAAAGCTG